CAATAAGTATTCATTGACCTTAATTTTTTTATTCACCATTTTTTTTTATGTGCCTCATAAAAAAATAATGTGTCCTTGTCCTAACTCTGGAATTAAATTAGTGACTGAATTTTCATACTAACTCGTAGTATACTGATATGTGCTTTTCAAAATGCATTTTACACGAAAATGTTTACAGCTGTTAAAACTTGTCGGTGTCAACTCCTTACATTTGTCAAGAAAGTTTGCAAATAGGAAAAAAATTTCAAATAATTGGTCAATCAAGATACTCATGTGCATCGATAATAATTGTCAAGAATCAATGAAGTCAAGGTCATTATCAATCAACACGTAATCTGCCTATACAATACAATTCAAATCAGTAATGGAATATCGCATGGTCAAAATTGCATTCTTGTGTTTTTAACATGCAATTTGCACATTATGTTGATTTATCTACACAATGTTATATTATTATGTGATAAAACATCAGGTTTGGATAAATTTGCTAATATTTTGGCAATAATATGTTACCTCAAAAGAAATGGGTAATTAAATTAGGGTATGTTTTGGCCACGCGTCTTAACTGCTATCCATGTAGCTTCTGGCTTCTTGTGAGTATTTTTCGTATATAAGACGTATTTGTTAATCCCATTTGTTTACGCGGACTGTCGCTGCTGAATAGCAAGCAAAGATTGGGTATGCAGTTCAGTTGGGCAAAATCGAAACCTCTCATTAAGAACTTCTTCTGTGAAGTTTGCGCGCTACAAGGATGCATCGCAGCACGTCGTCGCTCACGCACTACGAACAAGCGTCATAAAATGCCGATATTTGGTCTCTTCACAGGGTACACACCCTTTGCACGCAGGCGTCACGATTTCTAAACACAGTGCCCAGCGAAATATGACACTGCACGCAGTGCAACGCTGCTCTCGTCCGGGTTACTAGCTGCAAGCGCGTTGATGACGAGGAGAATCAAAGTATGTGTACCGGTTGAATTGTAATATACGAGGATAAAATTGACAACTGAACTTTTGAATGATTGTAATGCATCAACGAAAAAGATGAACATTATGAAGAAAAACCGCTGCTAATTTATTGGCAAAGAGCTTCCTCATAAAAAATAATATTATTAAAAGCGATCGGTTAATAAAGGGAAAATTCGTATTTCATTTTTTAAATTCACATGTCAAATGTCACCTCCGTGGCATGTCTACATCTCAAAATCAACTCTATTTGCATGTACCATGCATTCTCATTAGCACCTGACCCTATAATAACTATGAGACCAGCTTCTATACATCCAGAGTAAAGTTCAAGTCTATTATAGGGCTTTGAAAAATGTTTTAAAAAAATTTCCCACGCAATTGAAAAATGTCTCGGATTTTAATCATGCTTCTGAATAATTTCAAACATACCGCCTGCTTTGGGTCGCTAACTCATTTTTCATGTCGCTAGATACGTAAATGTCAAGTATTATAGCCCAGCTTTCGATTGGTGTAGGTTGCGGGTTCAAATTTTACATTTTAGCTTTGCAGCGATAATTAATTTGTTGGAAAATTCACGTGTTTCTTAAAACTGTCCCCTCCGTGGATGTGAATATCTTGAGCTATGGTCATACTTTTTAACCGCTCGCCCAGTCAAAAGACTCGTTTTTCATGACCGAATTTCGGGTTGTACGTAATTTGGTGCGTTTCTTATTTTTCATACTTAGCAGCGTCAAAGCAGCGATTTGTCACCTCTGTGCGTGTCACCTCCGTAACCGAAAATAGTCAATTTTAAGCATAAAATCGGACATAGTTTTCGTTAAACGAAATCTCAAGGCCCCAGATTCAATAATTATTAATATTTTATGGTTTAAAAAAGGGTAAACTAGTTCGCGCCATTCGATGTGACAAAAAAATTTTCACCATGTTTTCATTTTTTATACCCGAAAAAGCAGACTTCGGGAGAATCAACCATATATTATTATTTTTATTAATGGAGACAAAATATACACACACCGTTATATATTATATAGTAGACTGTCCGTTATTTCCCGAATTGCTCCAATCCTCGCTCTCACCCCTTGAAAGTTCATCATTTGGCTCACAATGAAAGAAAATCACTGTCCGACCGCGATTAATTAACTCTAGATAGTGCCACACGCGTCAGCTTTTTTCCCATTTAAATAACATGGGAAAATTTAAAAAAAATGTAAATTGAAGTTTTAAACCACTTAAAATCGCTAAACCTTGGGTTTAGCGACGGTTTTCACTTCCTGGTACACCCATAATGAGTAACCAATACTTACGGGAACCCTCCGAAAAGAATTTTGGATTTTGCACACACGATATACTCAAAAAATGAAGAAAAACAGCATGTTGGCGTGGTTTTTCGATATTTTACAGCAAAACTAAGCATGAACGATCATTTTAAATATATTCACGTCAAAGTTGAGATCAAGACCTTTAATTTGAGGGTAATAAAACCTATTTACGTTCATTAGAACCAAAGTTACAGGCGTTTGAAGTTTCATTGAAAAATCAGGTATCGATTCTCGTCCGGCCGCCCAAACGCGCGACTCGCGGCTCGCTGTAATCGCAACTCGTACAAATGACCATGTAATTAAACTAGAAAAATAATTAAAAATATGATTTTTATGCGTTTTTTTCTCAGCTTTCACGTGGTGTAGTCGGATTTTTCGATAATTTTCATTTTCGTACGAAAAAATGGACTTGAACATTTATTTCCTATTTTTCCTAGTGAACGAGTAAATTATCGAAAAATCCGACTACACCACGTGAAAGCTGAGAAAAAAACGCATAAAAATCATATTTTTAATTATTTTTCTAGTTTAATTACATGGTCATTTGTACGAGTTGCGATTACAGCGAGCCGCGAGTCGCGCGTTTGGGCGGCCGGACGAGAATCGATACCTGATTTTTCAATGAAACTTCAAACGCCTGTAACTTTGGTTCTAATGAACGTAAATAGGTTTTATTACCCTCAAATTAAAGGTCTTGATCTCAACTTTGACGTGAATATATTTAAAATGATCGTTCATGCTTAGTTTTGCTGTAAAATATCGAAAAACCACGCCAACATGCTGTTTTTCTTCATTTTTTGAGTATATCGTGTGTGCAAAATCCAAAATTCTTTTCGGAGGGTTCCCGTAAGTATTGGTTACTCATTATGGGTGTACCAGGAAGTGAAAACCGTCGCTAAACCCAAGGTTTAGCGATTTTAAGTGGTTTAAAACTTCAATTTACAATTTTTTTAAATTTTCCCATGTTATTTAAATGGGAAAAAAGCTGACGCGTGTGGCACTATCTAGAGTTAATTAATCGCGGTCGGACAGTGATTTTCTTTCATTGTGAGTCAAATGATGAACTTTCAAGGGGTGAGAGCGAGGATTGGAGCAATTCGGGAAATAACGGACAGTCTATTATATAGTTTGGTCAATTTTGCACGGGGTCGCTATTCGTTGAAAAAAAGTAATATTTAGTTGGGGGTAGAAAAACTTGTTTCGTAATTGGACTATATAATTGATACATTCTAATCAATAAAATTTTATATTGCTATCAGTAAATAGAAGATTAAATATTGCATAATGCATAAATATTGCATTGTAATCCTCGCCCTCTCTTTCTCGTGAATATCTTTGTTTAGATGAAACTCGACTAATTGCTCATCATTCTTCCTTGCAGGTACGTATCTATCTCACAATACGGCTCGAAGCAGTAGCAGCTGTGCGTCATTCAGATCATTACATAGACTCCATTAAGGTAGAACATTGAATATGCATATATATACACTTACACACCGGTCACCGACTCAACAAGGCACCCACACACACAGACACATATAACACGATTAGAACGCATCAGCCGCATCGATGATCGATCGATATTCTTAGTTCGTTAATGGACTTGTCGATGTAATTTATCGAGAAACTTGCTAAATATTTTAGAATTCTTTTTTAGAACTTACGTGTCCTGACGCATTTCTTGTTGCTATATCTGATCACTGCTTTCAAAAATGTATATTGCTTTTACCATACGCACACACAAACATCAGTTTATTTTTTGGGCGATGATGCTAATTTATACAAGTCACGTTTTCTTGATCCGTAAACCTCTTTGATTCGCTCATTAAAGATTTTCCTCCGAGAATCATGGAAAAGAAAATTTTGTTTTAACCTCATTGATAGTGTTTTTCCGGGTGGATATTGCCGGTAGTATGTACCGAGCTCGCAAATCGAAAAGTTGAAAAGGCTCTCTTTCCCTCACACGAACTATGTCTGTATATGTACGTGTCTATCCTTTTCAATATCATTCATATGCAGACAACAATGGAGCCGTTATATTCGTTTTTCTTTGGCCAGTTTTTCGATTTTTCTTTTTTTTTGTCATTCCACACGCTGTATACTCATAAAACGTTGTCCTTTTCACATTGAAAATTGCAGTGTTTGTAAAATTGTAAATTTCAAAGCTCAAATGATTCAATCGGTATAGATTTTCCCACCTATGCATGTGAAAATGATAAGAAGCAAAATTGTCGTAATCACACGAGGGCTCCCGAAGGTGCTCAAGAAACCCACGCGTGATTCATCATCAGAACTTTCTAAAAAAAGAGGCAAAAAGAGTCCGAAGTAACCGAAACGTTAGGTTGGTGCTCGTACATATATATATTCGCATGGTAGAGTACGGCAACGTAGTAGATACACATGTATATAGCCACAAGTGCTGTATATAACAAGTGCGCGGGAGGCGAACGAACCAAGCTCTCGTCGACGTCGGCAGCGGATTGTAGGTAGGGGAATATCGCCGCTGCTCTGGCCGGCTCCGCTGCCGCCGCCGCCGCCGCCGCTGCTACTGCTCCCGCTGACGCCATGTTCTCCCCACTCGGTCTCGCCGTGGCTCACAATGCTCGTAAGCCGCCTCCACCATTTTCCCTCGAATCCCCCGTAGTGATGCTGCTGCTGGCTGAGCGCCGCGGATGTCTGCGTTGGCACTGTGTGACTGCCCGTGACAGTAGAGCTCAGTAGGAGCCGCGTACGCGCCCAGCTATCAGCTGCTACACGAGTGCATATTTCTCATCGCATATGCATGGCCATTCGCATGATATATGAGACTCCGTTTTCTCTTCCTACGAGTCCGACGAAAAAATCATTATAAATTATTATTTATTATAAAGTTATGACGCGCTGATCGAATCTTTCGCTTCGCTATACAAGCAGTACTTACACAGTGTCGTTGTTCGAGCATACACAAACGTGCGTTGAGCTTTGGTGTATTTACCAATAGTTGCTCACTAATATACATGTAAAAGGCCCGAGAAATGGTGATTTAAGTGTGCGTCGAGCCTCTACCTGTGCATGATACCAATATACCTATATAGTACTTTGCCACTCTGCTACTGCCGGGGACTGCCGGGGAGAGAAGAACGAGATAATACTATACAGACTACGGCACGCAGACTACGGAGCTCGCGAGAAGGAGATTGAGGAAACGGTGAGTTGGGTTTGTGTGCCGAGTTTCTGCTCTTGCTGCTACTTCACCCAAGCCTCTCTCTGTGTGTGCGTGTGTCTTATGTATTGTTGCCACCGCTATAATATACATCCGCGAACGCTTCTGCTGCAGCCAGACTTTTATTGGGCACTGATTCAAACTGCAGGTGAAACAGACAAATATATAGCTTCAGCCATACAAGTATTTTTCTCTGTTTTCTTCTTTTTCTTCTCTTCTTTTTTTTATTCTCAATCGCGACTCACCGGCGCAGCTGTGTCGTCTCCTCTCGCCTTCATTCTTTGCGGACAAATACAAAATTGAAAATTGAACGAAATGTTCGGAAAACGAATTTTACAACAAAACCGATTTACCTTTTGAAAAAAGACAGATTACTCCATGGGAATGTAACGCTACAACAGAAATACTCCATGAGCATGACGTTTCGGCCTTTCGTAATATTTAGTCGAGTATGTGTATTCAGCTTGATATTTTTTGACAGACGTTATATTCAAAAATATTACTATGCTGGCTTGTTATTATTGCATGGAAAAAAATTTTAAATAAGAAATAAGAAATGGGCGTGCATATATATATATATATATATATATATATATGTATATATGGATACATGTACACTCAAAGGTATTCGTCAATTTTATTAAAATTGCTGCGTTGGCGAAATTCAGGTCTCTGACTGTGGTGCTTGCATATACATGTGTGTATGTGTACAACTCATATACATACACATACGTTAGTTGTGTGGTTGCGGTACCTTTGGAATGTTTCATTTGAAGGCATTATATATTGCACTACAGACTGCGATACGACTTGCAATAGCAGCCCCAATTCTTACTGTTTTTAGATTTTAACGCAAATAAATTGAAAAATAAAAAAGTGATGAATAATTGTCACGATAGTCGTTACCCGCGAGTAATCGTCAGCGATATAATTCCAAGGATTTACGATCTTGAAACTTTCTCGATTTTATCTTTTATTCAATAATTCGAAATTTTCCCTATTTGTCAAAAGAATAACCAATTATCGCGCAGTCTACAGTAACGATGCACACTCAAGTTTGGCAATTGATTTCCAGTTAGAAATCTTTCTTGGATACACAAAAAATTAACCATAGTCTTTTGTGTTAACGAAATTTATTCTAAATATACATGTCGTCGAGAAGAAGAGAGGGAAAATGCATGTTGCATAGTAGCGCGGTAACAGCCGTCAGCTGCTTTAGCACATTCAACTCACCGACGACAAGATGAACCGGTGATTTAGGCTTATTAGAGCCAACACACATTCTCTATCTCTCTCTTTATTTATCTATCTCTCTCTAACTTCAGGTACACAACATGACCCATACATTGGCCTCGTGAGTATATATGCATGAGTCAGATGATTACATCAACGAACATACAAGTTATCTATTTAAACCCAAGAAGTCATTATCGAGCTCAACGAATCAAGTTTTTTTCTATGTCGAGCATTCATATAAAACAGACACTAAATTTATGAATTAATTTTCAAGAGTATCCTGCTTAATCTCATGTTTGCAATCGAAATCCGCCTGAGCCACATGCATTAGGCTGTTGTAGCAGCAACAACACACGTCGTCGAAATACAAGATAGTTTTATTTATTTGCCAAATTTATTAAGTAATTGACTTGGGCGTCAACGTTATTATCGATCACAAATATTATCACAATCAGATTATTACTGAAAAGCACTGTATTCTTTCCACGTCTAATTAACCCACTTTTTTACTCGCTGGTGTGATAAATCAACGTATATAAAAAAAATTTTATTACTCGACGAAAGTGTTGTACACGTATACTGCTCAGGTGTAACGACCTATCGCGCGAAATTCGTGTGAATACATTACGTAAATCGATTCATTGACAGGCAACGCGAAAGAAGCTCACAAAAAAACGACAAACTGTGAAGCACACTTCAGTTTTTATTATTTACAAATCTATGAGTATACGAATGCAGCTGCCTAGAAAAAATATCTACGAATGTGACTTTGTGTGCCTGGAATGTTTTCAATAGTCATTGATACATGTGTTTTTTCCCCTCTCTCTGTCTCTCTCTTTTTCCATCCCGCTTATTTTGTTGATAATATTCTTCGCACTGAACGTAGAACATTTGTATGTTTTTTTTCGTTACATATTCATCAAAGTTAAAAGTTTTCTCATACACGCACTACGTGCTTCGTTCGAGTTTTTTCTCTTGCAAAGTGCAATATCCAATATATCCAGTTGCATAAACGTAGGAAATGTCAAAGTTCAAGTTACATTCTCAGTTGTTGATAAATCATTCGTGGACGAGCAATCGATGCGACCGACTGCTTCGACTCTGTACATTCATGTATCTTTTTTGTAATACAAAAATAGCCGACGATAAAATGTCTAAATTAAGCCTCGTGCTCGAGACTGCGCGTTACATTGTACAGGCGCGCAGTGTCGACTGTTTCTTCATTCGATTCCGCGAAAAAAAGTCGCTTCGCTCGCGCTTAGCTGCGCGCGTTGCATTATGCGCTCTTGAAAAAACTCGCTAAATCAAGATATAATATAGCACGCGCGAAAGTCAAACAGCTCGACGACGGCGAGCTTGTCGCAATGCCAAATACAGAGAGAATATAAGTTAAAGTTTGTTCACGCTGCACTGATATTCGCTGCATTGGCTGTCGAGTGATACCAGAAACTATACATTTCTTCGCAGCGCTTAAATACTATAATAATTCGCACATAAAAGCTCGGGGATAAAGTTTCCCTCTTGCTATTCAATTTTTCTTTACATAAAACATGTCTATTTGTATGACTACACTACTATTCACTACTGTTTTTGCAAGTTTCAAAAAGTTGTCAGCTAGGCTGCTCGGCGCGGGCTATAATCTGCCCGGCTCCAACGAACCGAGTCAATTTGGCTGCGTGTAATTAGGTAGTGATTGAAAAGCTCGAGTGGTTAATTATATAAACTTACGAGTAGTAGAGTTATTCAACGTCGACAAACACACGTGTGCTTATTTCCAGGCGGGCTGAGAAATAATTATAGCTTTATATATTCCGAGCTTATCACTCTTATCGGTCTTGGGCCGCTAGTCTACGTGTACGGAAGAGAAGAGTAATCCGCAGCATCAGATAGCTGCTGCAACTACGTAGCAGCGATTAACAAGTCCCGAGCCATTGAAGCTTCCGCCAGTAATAGCGTCGTGCACAAAGGCTCGAAAGAAAGAGAGAAAGAGAGAAAGAAAGTGTGTATGAAAAAAAAACCTCTAAGCCAAGAGCCGCTGTAGCTTCTGTCACAATCGAGCCGTAACTCGTGTGTACATACATCCGCCCCTCGCACACACACACACACACATATATAAGCTTCTGAGTAGACGCAGGGACGAGCTGTTTTGTTATTGCTCCTTAGGACCTTTTTGTTATTTTTTCCTTCCTTCCTGGCTTGTAAAATATTTTTCGAAAAATTCGAATTAATGTTGCGCTAAATTTTTCCGACTCCAGCTGCGAAGAAAGTTGGCGTGCGTGCAATGCGAAGCTCGTAATGGTGACTGTCTCCATATTTATACATGCGTACGTATAGACGCAGCAGTGACCGGACGTGCTTTTACGCGAATGGATGTTTGATTTCATGCAGACGTTCGGGACTTTTGACTGACGTTTCGTTTATAAGCTTTTCGTCAGTCAAAGTCTCGCGTATACACGAGCGCGTCAACTGATTGACTCTGGCGCGTTTCAGCCGTTTTGCACACTCCAGCAGCTCTCGCGGAGATTGAACGCGATCATTCGATCAATTTTTACTTTTGTCCGGGCTCGCACGTAAAAGGCCATTTTTTCCCTTTTTTTTTCATTTAAAATAGTCTAATGGAATCACGCAGCTGTCGCGATGTGCCCTTAGTTTCAGCTCGGCGCATAAAAGCCCTAGCTCGCAGCCCGCATGCTATGGCTCGTAAATTGCGGCCTTTATATATACGGCATAATGTGCGACGATGCCGCATATTATCCTGCCCCGCTTGCACGTATACGTCTGCGTACAAATGTAGGTGCGTCGAGGTTAAACTCACTTGCATCTTATATGCATGGATATTAGGGCGCTGCGAAGGCGCGACGCGCAGCTCGCAGGTACACTTTCGTACGTAGCAATAATTTTGCGAGGCACGCGCTGCTCCGGCCTCCCTGCTGATTTCCCAACAAAACCATTCAACTGTAATCGGACAGCGATATCCTGGAAAAAGCTGAAATTTTTCAAGTGCACCACATTTGTACATTAAATATTTTCACTTGTAGCCAAAAGTGATTAAACACCGTTGGTAGGCCAATACAACGCAACCATTTCGATTCATACAGGCATTGTACTCGCATTTGAACGTCCGTCACGGATCATACTCGGCTCCGTACGTAGCCTCTGTGTTCTCGGCCGAGCTTCGTAGAACAGACAAAGTCTTCTTTATATTATTATTCGAGCCCATGCTGGCTGGGCCGCGCTGAAAGGCAGCAGCAGCACGTGAGCGAGCAGAACTGCGAGAGGATTCATTCTCTGTGCGGCAGTGGCTAAAGACCGTTTTTTTTTCTCCTCCGAATCCTTGGCATAAGTACCAACGCACTTTTTGCCTGTCATTTTGAGAAAAAAAATTCGTGAACGCGCTTTGCGCGTATCTATTTCGAATGAATCGCGAAAGAAAAATAAAGATGCGAAATTAGTCCTTGGATGGGTATATACTCGCTTTACCAGTAGGAATAAAGAGAAATTAAAGCAGAGGGCCTTTTTTTCGCTCGCAAGAATACGTAATGGAACGGCCTCGTGCTCTAGTCGATGCTCTTTTTTTTTGTTTACTCATAGTCTGAAGAATCGAAAATTAGCGAGCGCAAAGGGGAGAGAGCTTTGCGCACGAGGCTCGGGCGTCGCTAGGTATTTTCGATATTGCTAAAAATATCACAGCGAAGCGCGGCAGCAGCTTGCATCTTGAATGGGCCAGAGAAAGTTTCTCGCGTTGTGCG